TAATGGCGTTGCAAAGTTTCTTATTGGTCGTCAACGCACACGTGACACTGCTGGCGTTGCAGGCGTCCATAGGCTACAGTGACCAGTTTACCATCAGACGGGCTATATGATTGTTTGCCACCTTTGTGTTATTAAAAAATATGGATATTAATTGATGTAAACATATTTCGGTTTATTCATATTCAATCATAAATAACGGGCAATAAATTAATATTTATGAAGCTCATTGTGCTACTATTTTTGCCTGCAATTTTAATGCGTCGAGTTTCAAGCTTTCTGATTAGTCGTCTTGTGTAATAATAATATAAGATCATGTCGCACACGCGTTATGTTTAAAAAAATAACAGAGTTATCGTTTAGATTTAGGCACAAGTTATGTATACATGTTAAGGTGAACACGACAAGAGTTGCTGTTAATTCCTCATTCAATTCCGATTAAAGAAGATACGCTTTTATTGCGCCGGTTTGTATAACTCGATGCCGAGCAACGTCAATGTTGGTTCTTGTTCTCGCTTCAATGTCAAACGAGATTTCAATCTTCAAATTAGACCATATCGAACAAATGCGACTCACAGTTTATAATAATAGAGTTCGATATTGCTTACTGGTTTATGGTAAACGTTTTTGCTTCGTCGCCTGCCGATAGAGGCGGTAACACGAATCCGAGGCACGTTTTCTTTTATGTGTTTTTCTTATTGAATCTATAACACGCTGCTTTGAAATAAAAGCTACTTTTATTAATGTTATCAACTTAGCATTCTGCATCGGTCCTCTAATGTGGAGTATTGATTATACAGCAAAAATGACATACCTGCAAAATAATAGCTTCACTGCATCTGTACTGACGAAATTTTTTAGTCAACGTACAAATCTAATGTCACAGACATCAACCTGCGCAGCTATAATTTGGCACTTAGTCACAGTCGGTCGACAGCGTTTTTGTGTACCATATTAATAATGGTGGAAATCAAATGGCAGTTTTATAATAATCGTATAAAATATACGGTAGCGTACTGAATATAATAGCCACTATGAGAAGTGTTGAATCTCCGTTTATAGTTGAGGTCTCACAAACAGTCACTATGTGTAGCATAATTGATTACGAACACATGACGACACTACGCCGCGCCGTATATGCGGTCCATTTGAATGCCGGAAACGGTGAGACATGTTTGGAACAATATAGTATTTGATGACCTTAATATGCGCCCTTTTTCTAGTGTATAAATCGATCCTGATTCTGAAATTCTCGCTCTGCTTTTGTGCAATTTATTGTTGTCGAAGATTTTTTCAATTGTTCCGTATAGTGTATATTTAAGGGCGCCCAGCGGGATCCTAAAATGCCAATTTTTCGCTAAGCGCTTTAGAGAGCGATTGCTAAGCTGTCTCAGCGTTCTTTTGTTTAATCTAAGTGAGACACAGCGTAAGTGATCGATTGGTCTCAGTGCACGCTCGGTTGATGATTGTGTTACGCTAGTGAGCCTGCTACTGCGACGTGAATCTATACCGATAAACTGCTACCAGACTGCCACATAAACATCTGTTGATATTCTTAACTTTGTTTCAAAGTGCTTACTCGCTCAATGCAAATAGACATAAACTTACCTAAAACTACTATAAAATTACCACTATCTAGACATCTCACGAAACTTTCAAGGGAATTGAATATAATTATTGATATAAACTTAAATCGATGATTTTTTTTTCATAAAGGTACAGATAATCTGGTATCATATACGATGCTATTGACGTTACATGATAGGATAATAAAAGAACAATGTCTAAGTAGATGATAAAGACAGAATAATATATTCCGAGTGATATTATATAGTAGTATAGCGTAGGGGCATGAACTCCTCTCATACAGAACACAATTTTTTTTATACCACTGAGGTGGCAAACAAGCCTACGGCCCACCTGATAGTAAGTGGTTACCATAGCCTATGAACACCTGCAATACCAGGGGTATTACGCGTGCGTTGCCAACCCTGAAGAAACCTCTTTACCCCCCTTTTGAACAATGGAGAAGCTGAAGGCTTTTGCGATATGGGCATACTCTCGTATTTTGGAAATCTTTTGGCGTGACCGAGTCGCAAATATTGAAGTATTAGGTAGGATTATACTGAGGAAACTTGATTACAATGTACCAACTAGAGTGCCGCGGCATCGTTGCAATCTATTTAAAAATGCAGCTTGCCGAACAAACTTGGCTCGCGAATCACCTATCGTCCGCATAACGCGTCTGTACAACGATATTATAAAAACCAAGCCTGAACTTGATATTCACAACGATTGTCACTCTGTGTTCATGGATCAATTAAAATGTTGATGTACCTCGCCATTACATTATATTTATTTATAATTTATAATAATTTAAATACAATTTCCATTAATTATATTATATTATTATTCATATTGTTAATATTTTTACTTATATAATGACTTTTAATAATTTAATTATATTTTAATGTTTATCAAACTCAAGGCATGCTGTGGTTGCCTATAAATGTAAGAACAGTTAGATCTAATCTACCAGTGTATTGTATTGAAATGTTTAGCTGTATCTTATGTTGGTAATCCTATAAATATATAAATAGATTAGGAAAAAGTTGGAGCTTATGAACACCGTTAGGCGTTGGAAAATGTCGTATTTTGGTCACGTCATGAACAATGATAAATACAGAATATTCCAGCTAATCATCTAAGGCAAGATTGCTGGTAAAAGAAATGCCGGAAGGAGGCGGCCCTCCTGGTTAAAGAATCTGCGAGAGTAGTTTAACTATAGCACCTCGCTCTACAGAGCAGCCGCTTCAAAAATTAAGATTGCCCTTATGTTTTCCAACCTCCAATAGGGATGCAACTCAAAGAAGAAGGTTTCATGTAGTAATCCTGAACACATTGAAAAATACCGAAACCTAGTCTTTGTAATCGCACGTGGTTACCATTGCCTTGATTGGTTCCGTTGTTCCGTACACAATTAATCATTGCCATTTGCCACCAGACTATTCAATTGATCGTTCAACCCAAACTGGTCGAGTCGAGCGTGACCAGCGGAAAACAGCAATTAAGTAAATGGCGCATTTGTACGTGTGTCGCCGACAATCCGATACTACCACCATGCCTCGTTCTCATATTGTTACTCGTAATGCTGGTACACTCGCTTAATATAATAACACATAATTACTTTGCTGTTGGTTTCACATTTATTTCATATGAGCAATTCTTATTTTCTATTTTAAAATAAGTAAAAAGTCTTTTATTTCTTTTCAATAAGTTCCATGTAATATTATAAAGCCATTAGTTATAATTAATTTTTTCTGTCTGAGCCATTTGTTTAGTCTGTTGAAGCGTTCAAGTTTTCCTGCAGATCACTTCTTTAAATATCATAAAGATCGTGGTACAAGTGTATTTTATTTTACATCTGATCTTTGAAGTTCAAAGTTCTATATACTCTTCTGTGAACTTTCATCATAATACCTACCCACTACTATATTTATACGATCCCCGCAAGCAAACTGATCTCCGTTAAAAAAATTAATAATAAATTATTTTAATTAACAGAAAGCAGTCTATATGATACAACAACATTAACAGGTGTAACTTGAGATTACGGCCGATTATCCCAGATTCAACATTCTCTCGGGTTATGGAGGTTACACCACTTACTTTAAAAACGTGACGTGATTCTGAGAATACTTATATTAGCATCTTTCCTCGTACCTGACAATAGGAAATCCGTGTTATGGGAAAATGAAACTCGGGGAAAATTGTTCATGGTTGTTAATATTATAGATAATGGCTGGTTTTAACCAAATCAAGATTTTCTCTCACATATTTGAGGCAAATAATGACACATTTCTTTAGGATTTTAATGTAAAACATTTAAATTTTATTGAGCGACAGAAGCTCGCAATCACGCTAAACATAGTTCGTATTGACCGATTAGTTGCTATCAGTCGTGGCTCCGGCGCCATCACCATCCGCTGATAACTCATTGACTCATTCATGTTACAAAAGTGTAACAAATTAATGACAACAAATGGAGCATATGATTTGCATATGATCAGCTGTGTAATGTGTCTGCTCTCTCGGCTTCTTCGGCTTTCTCGTCTATCAATAACTGTATCATTTGTTCCACTAGTTTTTTTTTACTATAATCGCCTCGCTCAACATCTCTTTTCAACACCTTCATAGTTATTAAACTGCTGTGCCGATTAACTCCGAGTCAATAATTTACTATCTTGCTGTCTTTGAACATCTGTTTTATTGGATTTCTCTGAGGCCCTACGGGCGAAGCTTTGCAGACCGTAAAAGTTTCAAGGTAACGGATTAGAATGATTTGGCTGCTCGCCAACATTCCCATCTCAGCGTAGGACCCGACCAGTCAGTTCAGCTAGTAGCGAACTAGCTGTACATCAAACATTGTTAGCTTATTAGACGATACGAGCAGTACGTAACAGGTAGTGAACATTTAAACATCTGGCGAGCGTTCGTGCACATAACTCGATTCATGTTTTCACAGACTACCTATAAATAGCTAATTTATGAATCTTCGAAGTAATTAGTCACGATTTTGCAATATCTATCTTGGTGATTGTTGTACATAATTGTCTTCTATATACTGCTTTCTTTTTTACACTCAGAAATATATGAAAAAGAATTTTTATATTGTAGTTTTAAGAATATAATTATTGTTTATCAGCAATTTAATAAAAAATAATATATATATATATATAAAATATAAAAAATATATATATATATATATATATATATATATATATATATGTTATATTATCCAAATTAATCAACTGTGAAGGAGATCGTATTCGCACAAACAACACACCTGGCAACACGCGAAGGACGATCTCTAGAAGTAATCTGTAATTATTGTTTATTTCAATAATTAGTTGGCACAGATTTACAATTAAAATTGCAAACATCCTTTTATATGTGTTCGTATTCTTAGAATAATAAATTATATTTAATATTATTTATTGCAGAAATGTGAAGATTTGCCTGAGCCCAATGCGGTGGGTAATCAATATAATGACTGGCCGGTGCCTGTTGCCGCCTGTGAATCGATAGCCAGCTTTGTAAGTTTTCATTTTTTGATATTATAACTTAAGAATACCAAAGAGAACTTTAAATAAAGTCGTCTGCTTTAGTAAATCTGTCGCAAGCTAACTTAGTCAGGTCCTCGCTCTCGTCACAGTCGCTCATGATTAAGGATCCCGAATTGGTCCCGAAATCAGAGCGAGTGAATCGAGCTTTCTCGATATAATTACACATAAATTAGACCGGAAGTTAAATTTATTATTTCCATTAAATCTATCTAATTTCTGTCACCAAATATTCTTCGATTTCTTTTTGAACAGTAAGTTATGACAATATAACTACTGAGTACACAATCAAGGATAATCAATGTATAGATATTTGTAAGTGTTCATGGTATGCGGTGACCACTTATCAAATTAACTCTATTTCTACTGTTATCGTTTTAATTAAGAAAAAATATTTGAATTAGAAAAATTATTTGCGTCCATCAGTTATAATCTGAAATAGCCGATGTGGAATGAATAGTTAAAATTGGTAATAGAATGATTATTTGAGCTTTTCTTTTACCATTATATAAGCCATAAAGCACAACTGGTGGTTTACAACAACTCCATAGATATCTCCGCTCTGGTATTTGCCAGTGAGAGTTGGATATAAAATAATGAGAAAATCGACAATTCTCTTGTTATAAAGGAATAATAATTGCAGCAGTAAATTTTATTACGTCTGTGTCAAATCTTGATGGCTTAATGTTGTTTAATGAATGACAAATTATGATGCAATCACCATAACCTTCTAGATAATCATAATCTTTTCGACTTAGCTTAACGTTATATGATTTGCTCATAGTCCTGTCATTATCTATGTTACTTACCTAAACGTGTTAAGTTAAAACATGACAGCGCTTTTATGGTTTCCTATAAATTGATGAACTGACAGCCACATCCAATATTTGTCCAGTGTCCTCTCAACATTTCTGTGGCTTCACAGACATGTGATTTTAATTAAAAGATTACCTCATTTCCATAGAAAATTAGAAAAGTATCAAATGTAATTTTGGATTATCTTATACTTACTTTTTTCTGGATAGTTGAAGAATGTTTTGACGTATACTTATACCTGGGCGTCATTAACCACGGACCGTTCATTTGCAGACTAATGACTCCGGCAGCTATGCGACTGTGCCACGACACGCCCGTTCGAAGGCGATGCAACCCTGATGCCAAAATAATCACTCCATATTTTACTTGATTAGTATATTTTTAAATATTACCAAATTCATTTACAAGTGCGTTGTTATTAACACACATGTGAAGTGAAGTGTTTGTGTTGGTGTGGTGTGTTTGTATCTGGACAATGTCTATCTACAGATCCTAAGAATCTGACACTATCCACTAATTCCACTGGTTGATTTTGATAATTTATATTCATTTTCACAGATTTTGAATGATATGTGCCAAATTGATTTAAATTAATTTTTAAATTATTTTCTGCATTAATTTGTGTTTCTAGGATCTTTATTTTTACATTTTATTAATATAGTTGTATCGTCAGCTATAGTATACATTTATGTGTGATTATATTAGGCACATTTATATACGCGGCCCGATGTTGGCGGCGTCTCTGTATGGCGTTCATTTTAGACGAAGAAGAATATAATTTATTTAATGCGATACAAGTTCGGTGTGCAGTGCTGCCTCGAGGAGCTGACCGAGGTGCCGTTCGTCTCGGCGGTGCTGTTCGCCAAGGTCAAAATTTTTGTGCTAATTGAATCATAACCTACTGAGTTTGTATTTTTTAATGTTTTTATAATATCCGTAATTTCAGTGTCACTACTTGGCGTCAAAAATATTGTTTTGGCATTATCATTCTTACTGATATGATCATATAATTTATTCATATTGTCATTAAATAAATTGTTTATATTTGAATATGTATTATATTATCAATTTTAATCATATCAAATTTTCATGTTAATTAATATTATCATTAAAATTTCTTAATTTTTGCTTGTTTCTATATATTTTTTGTTTTGCACTTTTGTAAAATTTTACTATAGGTCTTGTAAGTTTTCGTTCTACACATTTTGTTAATTTAAACTAAAACATAAATATACTGTGTTTAACCATTCTTTGCAGACTAACTGTCACACTTCATTTCATCAATCTTTACATTAATATTTTTAAATATTACAAACAATTCGATAACACACATGTAGTAACATTTGTTTGGTGTGGTGTGTTTGTATCTGGACTCAAATTTAATTTGGCGGCGTCCAAATTATTGTTTGCTGCCTCGAGGAGCTGACCGTTGTCTCGGCGGTGCTGTTCACCTGACGACTTCATGTGGATTCATATTGCAGTTTTATGAATATGTAACAAATTGTTAAGATAAAATTCTTAAGATGTTTTGCAAGAAAGTTCTAAATTTTGTTAACTAAAACAGTCTGTGTTTAATTCTTTGGAACTGTCAACTTCATTTCATCAATCTTCATAAAGTTTCCAAACAATTCGATAGTAGTAACATTGTTTCTCAAATTTAATTTGACACACGATCAATATGTAAGGACAGTTTGTTATCATTATAACGATTAATCAATTTTATTTAAAAACGATCAATGCAATCTCGTCCAAAATATAAATTTTTATTACTTAATAGTTAATTGCATACACCATCATTTGCTACTATATAATTTTGTTCGTGCTTCATTTTCTTACGTACAAACAAACAACTTTTACTTACTTTTGCGGTTAATTGTGGTTCCCATTTAGTAATATCAGGTCCGACATGTTTTTCCTGTAGGCCGCGTAAGCAGTGAGATAACTACTATATTTATTTCAGGTCAGAGATAAATTTCTCTCTCACAAATTACTATACGTCTTCTGTCTCGCCATATCCGCCATTGGTGTTCAGCAATAAATGAGCTTCGAAGTCTATTTAATGAGCGTAGGCACTAATATGATCTTGAGTTAATTGCCTCTTGCCACGATTGATCTTTTATTAAGATCACACAGCATTAGATTAGCTTTAATACGATTATAACATAACTTTCTAATTACCTAGCTACACTTAGTGTAGTGTACTAAGAAAATAAACAAATATTACGTTAAATACAATGACGCAATAGTATCAAAATGGATTGGAACGTGCTATAAATCATTAAGGTAGACAGGCGTCGAGCAAGCTGTTGTGACGTAGTCTATATCTACTCGTGTGTCCTTCCTGATAACCCGGAGGGGCGATCCCTTTTGCTGGCCACTGTAATTTATTTTAATGACCTTTATCCTCATAAATTGTATTTTTAGTTGTACCCGCTACTTTGTCCGCGTGAAATGAAGGTCAAAGAAGTTAGTTTTAAATAAAGTTGGTACCATTGTCACTACGTCGACAGTTACGTATAAGTATCGTTTTAACTTTAAGTTATTAGAAATCAAAGACACTAACGGGTATTTTTAGGAGATATTTAAAGCTGTTACTGTGTTAGTAGCTGTTGCTATGTTATTTATTATTTCGGTTGATTTTTTTTTTATCTGTGGTTGGTTTTATCATTTTCTTTGCCAAATCTAAAACAATTTTGATAATTCTTTTTGCAATGGAAAGCGATTGATTCCAGATTAGTCTTACATTAGATTAATTACGATTGAAGTTGTTTTTTGTGAAGTAAAATCTGAATTAAGTTGAAAATTCAATTATTATATAGAGAACCCAAAGCTTTTGGTATCAACAACATAAGAACTGATGGTTTTTGGAGTCTTTTGGCTGTAGTAAACTACGCCGCGATGCTCACTTACTTTACGCCCTTTTCTGTTGATTTATTCGTCTGTTTTGCTACAACTCAAAGGCGCGGTGTACGAAAACTCGCAAGTAATTAATTTTAGTTAATTACTGCAACCCGACGTAAACCTCTGCAGAAGTGCAGACATATCGTAGACTGAGGTCATCGTAAACCTTTCGTTTTTTAATTGAATATAATTTATTAAAAGAACATTAATTAATGGACGTTAACAGATTTTATCGCGTGCATCTTTAATTTAATGATCGAATCATACACGTAAACAAATCATTCAATGAAAACGATTAGTCAGCGATCCCCAAACTGCTTCTGACATTCGTCGATACTTCCAATTCAAATTAACTAGAGAGAGTTTGCGCTTCTAAATTAATAGAATTTGTTACATAATTTGTATTCTAAAACTTCTCGTAATCTAATTAAACTTCAAATTGTAGTAAATCTGTATTGGATTGCATGAAATTAAACTAATTCATGACTGTTCCATGATTGGCAATAGTTTAGAAATTACATAATGAGATAATATATCTAAAACTGACTATTTGGCCTAACTTTCTGTTACCACTAGACGTAGATATCTATTCTCGGTTTATGAAAATCTCGTTTGCCTTTAATATACTGTCGCTCCTTCGATGCCCTATAACTTTTAACCCAGATATTCCGCCCTATTTTGTTCATTGTCATTATTAACCGACAATGTCGTACGGTCTTGTGCCAGTTTTAGACCACGTCCGCCCGGCAACTGATAGTGGCCGCGGCTTCATTGTAGTAACTCGCAGTTTGTAACAATCTATATAATACATTATAACTACTAGCTGTAACCCGTGTATTTGCCCGCGCGTATTAGGATAAAAGTATCTTATGTTTTAATTCAGGATTTGATCCATCTTTGTATCAAATTTCTTTCAAATCCATTCAATTAAGTTTTTTTTTTTATACCACAAAGGTGGCAAACAAGCACCAGCTCGTCTTATGATAAACGGTCACTGAAGCCTATGAATGCCTGCAACACCAGGGGTGTCACGTGCGCGTTGCTGACCCTGAAGACACTTTAATACTTAAACTTTTAAAGAACCCCAAAATGTAGTATGACTCGGAGGATCTAATATGAAACGTAATCCCGGAATTCCAACTGAATACATGTACCTATTTATTTAACTACATTTTCTATCTATTTTTATATTATCACGTACCTATATTGTTTATTTAATATACAGCAGAAGCTCTTTATTCACGGGGTAAACGTTCCGTAAATATACCGCGAATACAGAAACCGTGAATATGGACAGCCGAAGCACTTATACAGCGACGTTAGCATTTGATAACATACTTTAGACGTAGTATGTTTGTAAGTCTGTTTTACTTTTTTATTAGTCTATTTGGTGACACGTTTATTAAGGATACTTAATCCTTTTTAATAATATGTGCAATGATTAGATCCGCGAATATAGAAATCTTTAGCCTCGAATATAGGAATTGGGTCGCAATTTTTTAATCCGCGAATAGTGAAAACGCGAATAAAGGAAGCGTGAATAAGGAGCTTTGATATGAAACAATCGTACACATAAACTTTTGATCATATTGAAATCATGTCCATAGATGGCAAATGGTATCCACCATCTGGCCAATACAGAACATGAAATATTCGAACGATCGAAACTCTACAATTTTTACAGCATTTCTTTCGTGATTTATTTATTGCGTTCGTGTTTTGTTCGGCTCTGAAACGTATTGTGGTGATTTCTATGCAGTTGTAATAAAGTTTACTAGCTATTAAATATTGGCGGTGACTCGGGACGGCGGGCTGACGGGCCGTCCTCAATTATGCAGCAGAGACAGCCGGGAGCCGAGCCGTGCTCCGGACGCCTCCGCATTCCTCTGCGCCCCTCCCTAACGACTCACTTCCCACTGCGTTCTAACTACGAACGATTTCACTTAAAACTTTAATGTCACATAGTAAATGTATGTTGACAGTTTGACAACGTGTTGTTGAAGTTTCCAACATAGGAATTTCTTACCGTAAGTACAATATAAATGATTCACTGATTCTCAAAGTGGGGTACCCTGGGTGTTTTACGAACAGCCGGGGGTAAAAGCCTAGAATGTTCAGAGTTGTTCCAATGGATATAAAGATAAATTTGTTACATTTTCCTTCGAGACACTAATCACTGCCTATAACCAAATTCAATTCGAACCCATTCTGTATTTTTTAGCGTCGTTGGTAATAAATAGCCAGTTTATAAAGATTTTTTTTTATGCACCATAAAATGGTAAACAAGCTGACGGCCTACCTAGTGGAAAGTAGTAAACATCGCCTATAGACAGGAGCAGTACCATGGACATAATGAAGTATACTGTTTCGCCCATGATACTCTCCATGCGTTGTCATTCCTGAGGATTCAGGTGTTGTTCCTCTGTATCCTGTAAATTACAATTGTAGATTTACATGTTTTATAATATTATTGAAACAGGAGGCTAACGCGAATAAAATTTCGTTAACAATCATAAATATAAATGCTACAAGATTTTATATTTAGATATATCCCTGTTTGTTATTATG